CCACCCCCCCCCCCCCCCCCCCCCCGACCAAACAACTTATGTCTCTCTTCGGACGGGTGGGAGAGTGTGGGGGGGTGTGGTGGGGTGAGGGGGGGGGGGGGGGGGGGGGGGCCTTAATGCATCTTGTATACAATAAAATGCGAAAAAAATTCGATTCAAGATCACAGTTTTTTCAATGTATATCAAAAACATGTCTTTATCGTTTAAGATACTATTAAATATAATTCTAAGTAGTTGCTAGTTAACAGTTCTTGTTGAATGAAAGGAATAGGTCATATTCAATGAAAAACAGATCATTTTTCCATGTTTTATTGATAATATCCTCAAATGTAAAGAGTGAGCTAATTTTGAAGAAACAAAGTTAATTATTAAAATATCTATATTCAAATTGCACAACTAATCTTATGCTAGGTAAGTGAATTGATAATTCCTGTTCTAAGAGTAATATGATAGATAATGTTATTCACAAAATAGTAAATAACATATAAGAAATTAGAGTACCATAGCGGTAAAAGGTGTTTTATTACTTTAGAGAAAATTCAAATATCTCAAGATATTTCTAATCTTAATTTCACAATGAAAATGTTCAGAATTTCTTTTTCAACAAATAAACATCACAAAATTCGTGCTACATAATTATCTAGAAGAATGTTTTACGATTGAAATTGATACCAAGATGCCGCAAGAACACAACCAGGTAAATTTAATCTGTCTAATGACGAAGATTCTTTGAGTGTTTCTTCAGTATTATTTTCGTCATTATCATTATTATTCATTGGACCACCTTTACTTGGTAAAATCCAACGATTATATATTGAATTTGTATGTAAATCACGAGTTTTCATATCATTGAAACATTTTTTGAAATCATCGTGATTCTTGTTTTCCCAATTATGATAATTCAATAAAAACATTCCATCTAAATGACCAATTGTTTCACATACGGTACCAAATAAACGATCGTCTAATTGAAAACCTCCTTCGGTCATATGTATGTTATTACGTGATGAAATTATTCTTGGTGGTGTTCGTTCATAAAAAGGATTAAATGCCTTTCTAATAATTGTTCGTCTTAATATATGAAAAAATTCATGTAATACAGTGATCAATAATCCACCAAACATCACTGTATTGTCGCTTAATCGTTTGGCTTTATCAATTAATCGTAATAAAATAATATTTTTATTAATAATTAATGTTCGATTGAAACATGTAATTGCTGTATAACACGTTGATAAGTTTGCAAATGAAATTCCACGTTTTTCCAAAATTTCTTCGATTGTACTATTAATAATGCCTTAATTAAAAAATCAAAACCTTCATATAGAATTTACACTCAAAATCTAAATAGTTTCATTTATGAAATAGATATTTAAAAGAGCATTTGAAAAAAATCTATTTCTGTTTTGTAAAGATATATCTGATTGTTTTTAAAACATTCTATTTACCTGAAAAAACAATATCATCAATAGAATTTGCTGGTCCAATTTCATCATTAATTAATTCCAAATATATTTTTTTAACAAATTCGATATGCATAATATCACGAAATAATATAATGAAATCTTTTAGTATTGGCATATTACTTATGTTCTTATCAATAATATCATCTTCTAATATTGTTGAAAATATACATATATCTTGTGTTGTTATTGTTTTATGTGATATAATTATCATTAAAAATGTACCAATTAAAGAGAAATATGAGGAGAAATTTAGTTGATTATTGTCGATTTTTTCGAAATTGCGAAGAATATTTTCCTCTTCAATTAAACATAAAAATTTCAATAAATTGATTCTGTGTAATTCATTTTGTTCGAAATAAGAAGAATAATGTTGATTAATTATCAAAGATAAAACAACAAAATAATATTTTTTTAATAAAATTTCTTCATCATAATACAATTCATATACGATGTGTTTATAATTTAATGAAGGACAATCATTGAAAATTGATTTTAATTTATCGTCAAATGCGAGTGTAGTTATAATACCATCTGTGAATAGAATAAATGATCTAATAATATAATATGCTTTTTCCGATGTAAGATTCAAAACATCTTTCTCGATGTCTGGTATATCATTTAAACGTTGACGTTTTGGATTCTTTGTACTATGGGAACTATCAACACCATTTTCATCCAATAAAGTTGATCTTTTTTTTTCAGATGTCATTTTAACGACGAGAGACGATAATCTACAATGAAAAATTAAACAATCATCTATTACACAATTCCATTCAACTTTATGATAACCTTTAGAAATCGAACGAAAAAATCAACATTATTAGCTCATGCGATTTCAGAGATAGTTTAGAATATGTAACAATTCGATATCACACAATTAAGCAGACAACAACTACATGATTAAAATAACGACTAGAAGCTTACTATTTATTGATATCACACTAGTTTTCAACCTATTGTCAAATTCCTAATCAATTTCGTGTACTGATTCAGAATATATACACCCCTTGAACAGCGTTTTTAATAGAAATCTGAAACCAAGTATATGTAGGTACTTCGTTTCAGTTGGCAAAATATCCGTTGGTACTTTGTTATTTAGAACAAAGTACCTCAAAGTGCCATAGTAATGAACTGATTTAAGAAAGACAAAAACGAAGCTATTACCATTCAATCTTTTTATGAAAAAATATGTTCCTATACAAAAAAAACCAATGTAGAAAAATAGATCTTATCGAAATTTTATTATTATAATATTAGTTGAAGTACAATCAAATAGCATAGAAAAATAGAGCATTCTTTTCTCTTGAAGACTATATTGAGAGAAAGTTTCTTAAAGCTCTTTATAAGGAACTGCAGTGTCACTATTATTACTTTTTGATGGTCCTATGTAATATCTGGTTCGATTTGATCAACTACGACTATTACTTTTTCTTGATATGAACCATTATTATTATTCAATCAATGAAATTGATCATATAAATTGTCTTCATTTTGAGGATCTTCTACACTGGTTTTGAATGGTGTTATACAAAATGATTTATCAAAATTTGTTTGTTCCATCATAAATATGATTCTATACGCAAAATAAGAAAAAAAATTGTATCGATGCTACTTACATAATCGTTTTTAATATATAAAATAAACCAATTAATTTAATAAATATAGATTGAAATAAGTACTAAATAATAAATATAGATTAAAAAATACTAAATAATAAAATAAATTGAATAGATACCAAAACTAAATATAGATCGTATAAGCTTCAAATAGTAAATATAAATTGTATAGGTACTAAATAATAAATATATATCAAATCAATACTAAATAATAGTATCAATCGAATAAGTATCAAACAATGAATATAAATCGAAGAAATCCTAAATATAAATCGTATAAACGCCAAATAATAAGTACAAATTCAATAAGTACTAAATAATAAATATATATATATCAAATAAAGACTATATAATAATATATATCGAATAAGCACCAAATAACAAATACAGATTGAATAAATACTAAATAATCAATAGTATACGATGTAAGAATAAAACAAAAATATCTATAAAAGAGAAGATCCAAAATCTGAAAAGAAAACAAGAAATTTCACTTATGAATTTAATAGGACTAGAAAAAAACATACTGTTCAGCTCCATCGACACTTAGAATATATAAGCAAGGGGAAAACGAGAAACTTTTATATAATGGCATAATAAATAAGTAAAGTGCTGTTGTTAATTTGCAAAGTACTATATCGATGTACTGCGTTTTTTCCAGCATAGTACAAAACGCAGTACTTTCTCAAAATTGTCAGTACCTCGGATACTTTGCTTTTCCAGAAAAGAAGAAAAAAAAAGGATTGGTATGCACATTCGATCTATCATATAACACATACAAATATGTCGCTCTATTATGAATCTGTGTGTATGTGAGAAAAAGGAGGTTTCATTTGGCTTGAGTAGCAGTTTATTTTAACAAGAGAAAAATTAAAGAACAGGATAAAGATTACGAATACATCTGGTACTAATACAGTTTACTCATACTCTCACTCTCACTTCTATATATCTTATAACTCTTTCTAGATTCTTGTTTTCTTGGTAGTTATCGATTTGAACAAATGTTAAAAGTAAATTCTGATGATAAAATCAATTTCTGAAAATTAATATCGAAATAAATATCAAATCTGATCTTTTATTGTTCATCAACAATAGATTATTTCGATCTTCAATTCATATATGATCTTTACATTCAATGATCAACACATAAATATCAATTATTTCATAAGAAATCTCGAAAAAAATCATTTGATAAATTTTAATAGGATAAATTCATTTTGACGAAAAATTATTGAAAATTTTTCTCTTTCAAAAAAGAATTTTCTTCAAAACCATTTGATCTTTTTATTTTAGTTATCTAGATGAAGAAAGGCACTGATAAGAACTGATAAATATCTCTAGCTGTGAGTTGACCATATCTCGAAAAGATTTTCTTTCATGTCTCTTTTCTCATAATAAACATGAAAAATAAGTCGAAGATAAATATTTTTTATCGGATTCAATTTTATTCATGGCTAATCATCACCTTTTCTAGTCACAGAAAGGTTTTTTTCTTGATTTTTCCTACGATGTGAACATAAACATATGAATAATAAAATTGTATAACATGAGCATTTAGTCTAATAATAAAATCTAATAATTGCAGCAAGATATAAAATTATAAAATCAAGAATAATAAATTCTATCTTTTATTTTTTATTTTATTTTTATAAAATAAATATATGTCTCATTGTTTTTTGTTTTTTTTTTTATTTCATCATCTGATATTTCGTCCTATTTATTCGGACATTATCAAAGAAGTTTGAGTTGTTGCTGCTGTTGAAATCGGAGTTGTTGTTGTCGTTTTCTTTTGGTTAATTTATTTATACTTGAATTTGTTTCTTTGTTCTTAAGTTGACCATAACCTTAACTTGATGTTGAACTTATATCACAACCACTACCTGTTGTTGTTCTTATATCATAATCTAAACAGTAATTGAGAACCATAATTATCATTATAACGACATAATGATAGTAAATAAATAAATGTATAAATGACTAGCGATGCAACGGTGACGATAACCGGCCTAATCGGTAACCGTTCCACGGAAAACCGGTATGAACCGGTAACCGTTGAAGCGGTAACCAGTTCAGATCGGTTACCGTTCCACTTGCATAGTAGTTTATGTTTAAAACTATATTTTGAATAAAGCAGGTATCCATAATCCCTCACATTCTTATTTACATGCAAGGATACCTAGACTACCTCGAATCCTATATAAGAGGGGAGATACCTATGGATGCAACGGTGACGATAACCGCAGGTACGGTTATCGGTCTAACTACGATGACCGTAGGTACTGTTGCCGGTCTAATTACGATAACCGTAGGTACGGTTACCAGCTCAAACCCATTGCCAAGAAAAACAGTGTTTTTTAAGAAAATAACGATATTTCTCAAAGGTTGACGAAAGTAAATCGAGGTCGGAGAATCCGAATCTGAAGTCAGCTTTTGAAAATTTTGAGTTTTAGTTCTTCACGTATTATGTTTTTCAGGAATAAATTTTTCTAGAAAAAAAGACGATATTCAAGAAGCGATTTAGTCTTGGGAAGAGAATATTGAAAAGTTGAAGAATCTCATTTCAGATTCGAATTCTCCGACCTCGATTTACTTCCGTCAACCTTTAGGAAATATCGTTATTTTCTTAAAAAGTGCTGTTTTTCCTGACAATGGTTTTAAACGGGTAACCGCAACTACGGTTATCGTCATCGTTGCATCCCTATTCAGGAATATAAGTTGCTATGTTTAAAAGGAGAATGGACTATAAGACTATTGGCAGTTTTAAAATTTCAAGCTTCAGTACAACATTTTCATCTTTAGTTAACAATGCAAAAGAGTTTTCAGACGTTTCATTATCGATTGAACTTTGAAAAGCTCTTTGACCTGGCCAGTTTAACAATGTAAATTCTAAGATGTTATTGATACCTCTGAAGATTCAAAACTATCGATGATTGTATAACCTAATTACATGCTAGTAACAGTGAGTTGCAGATCAACATTTCATTTTTGATCGCTTTATACTTACAAAATCCAGCTTTATATCCTTTCTAGCCGTAGTTGTATCATTCAACTAATTGATTGCCACAACAATGTGTCTGCTCAATGTAGAACTTTAGAGATGTTAGTTATTCTTCTCTATATAGGACTTGAGAGGTCTTACATATCCCTTACAGATAGAATTTGAGGTTACTTAAGTATCACCCCTCTTATATAGGATTCGAGATAGTCTAGGTACCCGTACATGTAAATAAGAAGGTGAGGGATTATGGATACCTGCTTTATTCAAAATAGAGTTTTAAACATAAACTACTGCGGAAGCGGAACGGTTACCNTCTAATTCATTATATGGTTCACAACAAAGATCAATAGAATGTAAAATATGCTGATCGTCAACAAAATGAGCAGTTAGTCCAAGATAGCTGTTTTGTTTGAATTTGTCACTCCATAAATCTGGACTTATAGCTAAACATTCTTGTTTAGCTGCTTTTCTCAATATAACACCTAGACGTTCACGAATATCATTTGCTTGTCGATTAATTTCTCTTGTGATTGTTGATCTTGATGGTAATATATCATTATCATTTATATTACTAAGTGGAGCTAATAGAAAAAAATAGAGTAATGAATAGCGATTAAAGATTTTAATAGATGTCTCACCACCATTCCAGCTAACACATTGTTTGATAATATTCAAAAAACCTTCATCTTCAACAATACTTATAGGACGTATACTTTGACATACCCATAGTGCAACTAACGATGTTAACGTCTTTTTCTTTTCAGAAAAAGATCGATTTATTTTCAAACTCAAAAATGGTGATTTAGTACTAAAAATATAGACAAAATAGATTACATAAAAAGATGATAATTAAAATACCTAGGTGATGTAGATATTGATGATTCTTTGGAACATTTGTGAGAATTTAATGATTTGGTTGATCCATAGGTATATACATAAGTTGCATAACAAGATCGACACGTTGCAAAATTTTTAATAACAACATTACGATTAATTTCATTTTTTACAGCAGGAAGGGCAAATCGATTCCAACAGGGAGATGGTTTTGAAGTATTCACTTTGTGATTATCGACAAGTACGTATTTTTCTGGTTGTTCTTTTAAAAGTAATTTTATATTTGACGGATTATATTTAATATTACTCGATGAGCATTGACCAAGAGATGAAGTAATAATTGAAGATGAATGATCAGTATTTGACGGAGCCGTACTATCAAGTGATTCATCAGGAGATAAATCATGTAATTCGATCATAGTAATTCACAAAAATATTCAAATATTAATTCTAAATATAAAATAAGTTTTAGTCCAGTTATTCACTTAATATTAATTAATAGTGGAAGCTGTGCATGACGGACCAGCGTTTTTAATAGAAATCTGAAACCAAGTATATGTAGGTACTTCGTTTCAGTTGGCAAATATCCGTTGGTACTTTGTTATTTAGAACAAAGTACCTCGAAGTGCCATAGTAATGAACTTATCTAAGAAAGACAAAAACGAAGCTATTGCCATTCAATCTTTTAATGAAAAACATGTTCCTATACAAAAAAAAACAATGTAGAAAAATAGATCTTATCGAAATTTATTATTATAATATTAGTTGAAGTATGACTAAATAGCATAGAAAAATAGAGCAATCTTTTCCTTTGAAGACAATATTGAGAGAAAGTTTCTTAAAGCTCTTTATAGGGAACTACAGTGTCACTATTATCACTTTTTGACGGCCCTATGTGATATCTGGTTCGATTTAATCAACTACGACTATTACTTTTTCTTGATATGAACCATTATTATTATTCAATAAATGAAATTGATCATATAAATTGTCTTCATATTGAGAATTTTCTACACTGGTTTTGAATGGTGTTATACAAAATGATTTATCAAAGTTTGTTTGTTCCATCATAAATATGATTCTATACGCAAAATTAGAAAAAAAATTGTATCGATGCTACTTACATAATCGTTTTTAATATATAAAACCAATTGATTTAATAAATATAGATTGAAATACGTACTAAACAATAAATATAGATTAAAAAATACTAAATAATAAAATAAATTGAATAGATACCAAATAATAAATCTATATACCAAATAATAAATCTATATACCAAATAATAAATATATATACCAAATAATAAATATATATACCAAATAATAAATATATATACCAAATAATAAATCTATATACCAAATAATAAATATATATATCAAATAAAGACAATATAATAATATATATTGAATAAGCACCAAATAACAAATATAGATTGACTTAATGCTAAATAATCAATAGTATACGATTTAAGAATAAAACAAAAATATCTATAAAAGAGAAGATCCAAAATCTGAAAAAAAACAAGAAATTTCACTTATGAATTTAATAGGACTAGGAAAAAAAATATACTGTTCAGCTTCATCGACGATTAGAATATATAAGCAAGGGGAAAACGAGAAACTTTTATATAATGACATAATAAATAAGTAAAGTGCTGACATTGTGACGGACGATAAAGAAAGAAAGAAACAAATAGCAGACAAGCTTGTATATAATAGGATAAAAGCAATGAACTAATCAATATGTACTTTTGTACTACATATTTACACTAACGACATTTCTTGATAAGTTTGACAATTCTTCATCACACCCGAAAAAAAATGTTTACCCGCCCGAACCCGTGTATTTCATACCCGCTCCGCCCGAGACCCGTATTATTTAAAAAAAATATTCCCCGCCTCGCCCGCCCGTGTGCCGGAAAATACCCGTGCCCCGTTAACCCCGCGTTTAATTAAATTTTTCTTCCCCGCCCGCCCGTCGCCACGTGGCCCCGCGGGCCCCGCGGGGTGAACCCCGTGGACCGCACATCTCTGATCTAAACAATAAATTAGAAAAGAAAGAACAAACCTTTTTCTAACTTATTTCTTTCTTGTTCAGGTGTTGAATTAGAATTCTCTTCTTTTTTTGATTGTTTAGCCTTTGTACATCACCATTTTCATTTGTTAAAATTAATGTTTTATCACCTTTACGTTTTAGCCTAACAGTTGATGAACCAAATTTCTTTTTCAATTCAGTTTGATCTTCTTTATTAAGATCATTAAAACCTGAAAATCTAAATCAATTCACTTGAACAATAAGAACATTTGGAATGAAAAACAATACAAACGTTTCAAAAGTTCATCAAAAATGAAGTTCATCTTTATATTCTTCGAAACAATCAATATGATATCAAAAAAAATTAAAATAAAGAAAATATTGGTTTTTCAAATGGATATTAAATTTGGTGAGGCATATTCATAACATATGATTTAAATCTAGAAGAGGAAAAAAACTCACGTAAGTTACATTTATTTTTCTCTGTATGGTTTTAATAAATTTCTAGAGGATAATTCCACGATTATCTCTTTCTTCTTTTTTTTCCGATAAATGTTGTAAATCGA